ATAACATATACGATCACGTCAGATCAGTGTTTCGATCTGTAACATTATATATGCCGGTGTTGCCTTGACTTTATGTCCACTGTCTACATTCCTAGACATCATGCAATACCTACTCTCGTCTGTTCATACAAGTCAAAGTCTTCGTGTCGAAGCTTCCTCATCTCCTTCGTTCTCTCCCAAGAAACCCGCACCGTAGGAGCTGATGGACATCAACTGAATTATCCTCATGATAACGCCGGCGGCGGCGGTGCGGTCGCGCTGGTGAAGCGTGCTGACATGGTCTTCCTCACCGACGCGCGGATCTCCGGGGAAGCCGCCGCTTCCTTCTCCGAGATCTCCGGAATCGAAGCGAGTCGACCGGACTTCCGGTGCGGTGCTCGATCCTTGTGTTCGTGCGACCGAACTTGAACCTTGAGCATGGATGGAACGTGGAGCACCGACCGGAGAAGCCTGTGAACTGATCTGAAGAGCTTGGAGGACTTCTTCCGGGCCTGCGCGGGAGGCGGATGAGAGGTCCCGGACAAGTGCGGCATCGACATGGTCCGGGAGGTGATCGCGGAGTCCAGCTGCTGCATGAAGGACTTGAGCTCGAAAGAGTCGTAGAGAGAGCTGCCACAATCCCACACAAGGCTTTTGTCCTTCTCCATCTTACTGTGTTGAAGAGGAGAAGAAGAAGAAAAAGAGTAAGGACTTATAGAGGAAGAGATGGGGGAAGGTGCTTCACGACAGGGGGATGGACGCAGCCCCAACGCGTCTGTGACGCAAAGGAAGTATCACATCCCGTGGATCGGTACAGTGCCACCATTTCTACTGGTTGGTCGTTAATGAGATGGCACATCTTAACTACACCAATGGAAGAAAGGTGCAAAATGAAAGCAGCATTTTTCTAACCGGTGATGGAAGCTGAGCTCACATGGAGTTGGAACATCTTGATGAGGGGGGATTGAATGCTTTGGAGTCTACTCCTCCATGTTGGTCTCGTTCTGACTTGTTTAAAGGGGTCGCCTCTATCCTCCCCCCCAACAACCAGTCCACAATACAATATTCTGAGAGTACCAAAAGTCTAATGGAATTGGTTGGACAAACCCAACATGATCATCTGTTTAATGTGGATAAGGACTTATTGCATGAGTAGATTTTTTTTGTGGCAGTGAAGTGAAGTTTACGATTCCTGATAAGGCATATTTTGGATTCCAGCTATGTCATCACCCGTACCTCTGCCACATTAGCATGAGGGGAGACTTTCACGTGCCAAGACAAAGGCCATGCCAAGGCACCCCTCGGTACGTCTCGTCCCGGAAAGCTCGGGACGGTGTCACCTGGCGTCATTCCACGCATTCCGGGACGACGACCGCACGAAGGTACCATCTCGCAACTTAGGGATCGACCGTCACGCTAAACCCGCGTACAACTGATTCTCGCATGGTAGTATAAAAGCCCTTGACCGGCATCTGGTTGGGGGGAGGCAAAAAAAAAAAAAAGTCAATCACTAACTTAATCGTTAAGAGGCCAAAGTCGGAAACCCCTGAAGAGGGCCTTCTGTGCCGGAGCGTGGCCACACCTGGGAGTGCGATCGCCCCAACCGATAGACGCCCTCCCCGAAGACGACGCTAGAATTCCGACAGAGAGTTGCTTTCACTCAGACGGCTTCAGCATCCCGACGTGTCGTACATCGACGCCTCGCCCCCACCGATCGTGACTCCCGACATTGACCCGTGAATCAAACCGTGTTGACCCACCAGCCACGATGCATCAGTTCCTCAACAATTCCCTTCTTCTTCTGTTTTTTTCTTTGGAGAAGGAGAAAATTATAAGGTTGGCTAAATTAATATACCATAAGAAATCATATGCAACTATTTTTGGATTGTTAACATATGATTCAAATTACTTGGTGAAGACAAAATATTCAAGTATGAAAAAAGAAAATCTTTTGTGAATTAGGGTTCTTCGTAATTTTAAGAATGAGAAGAAATAAAATAGTCTTCATCATCACTTTAACTTATTAAGTCTTTAATTAATTAAAATTTTCTGGTCGATTTTTAGAATAACGGGCGAACTGTTGCGAGGTGGAAAGCTTTAATCTTGCAATGCTGCAGGCTTCGCCGGTGATAGTCGACGGTTCATTGTGGGCGGTACGTATCCTCTTCATCTGATGAAAAATCCCTTCAATGTGAAGGGTAAAAATCACAGGGTAAACTAGAGATAATCCACTATGAGAATAATGAATATACAAATCTCAATCTCTTGCCCTAAAATATAGCAACAATCACAAGAGAATAACAGGAATATAAGGATCACGTCACTGTCCACAATATCTAAAACCTCCCCACGTAATTACAGCAAGAGTCTACTGTAGATTTGATCTCACATTAGATGAGAACACTGCTAGATGATTGAGAACAGTCTCTCTGCGTTGTCCTTGTTTTCTTCCATTCCTTTCTCTTGTTTTTTTATCTTTTTCTTCTCCTCTTTGCTGCTGCCCTTTTATAATCTTTTTCTGCCTCTAAAACACAGCCACCCATACACTTTAATAAGAATTAGGGTTAGATTAAGTGGGGTTGGGCTATGGGTTGATAAAGCCCAAT